AAGGGCCCGCAGGCCACTCACAGGTGGGAACAACTGCCGCTCCAGAGGAAGCTGCGGTGGCGGCTGCGACCGCTGCTGCTGCGGCTGCGGCTGCTGCTGCTGCGGCTGCGGCTACGGCTGCCGCTGCCGCTGCTGCTGCTGCTGCCGCTGCTGCTGCTGCTGCTGCTGCTGCTGCTGCTGCTGCTGCTGCCGCTGCTGCTCCAGAGGGTCCAGCACCCGCAGCTCCTGCCGCTCCCTCTCCAACCGCTCCTGCTCCTCACGCTCACGCCGACGGGCAGCCTGGAGACGCGTGTCGTGGCGGTGGGGAGGCGGAGTGGACTCCGCAGAACCAGGGTCTCCAGCGTCAGTCTCCTCAGACTCAGCACCCCCAGAACCAGCACCGCCAGTGCCAGGACCTCCAACTCCAGCACCCCCAGAACTAGCACCGCCAGTGCCAGCACCCCCAACTCCAGCACCCCCAAAACCAGCACCTACAGTGCCGGCACCTCCTGCTCCAGCACCCCCAGAGCTAGCGCCACCTGCGCCAGCACCTCCAGCTCCAGCACCCCCAGAGCTAGCGTCACCTGCGCCAGCACCTCCAGCTCCAGTACCCCGCGACCGAGCACCCCCAGACCGAGCACCGCCAGCGGCTGCACCTCCAGCTCCAACACCAACCGAGTCCACAGTAACCTGTCGCGGAAGTGCCGAAGGCTGCTGAGGGGACTGTGAGGAGGACTGCGGGGAGGGAGACGCTACCTGACGCGCGACCGAGGGTAGAGGGGTAGCGTGGGACACACCAGACGGGGCAGGACCAGGGGGGGGCGGGGGTACCGGAGGAGCGGGAGCAGGAGGAGGAGGGGGTGCGAGGAAGAGAGGGGGAGGGGGTACCGGGAGACCTTGACAGGGGTACCGGGTGTAGTAGGACACGGACTCGTCAAACCGGACGTCACGGGAGTCTAGGAACTGGTGGAGGGGAGGGTGGTAAAAGGACCAGTCAGCAGAGTCCACTGGGAAACCAAGGAAGACACAGGGGACGGCGCGTGCCGAGAGCTTGTCCGCGGAGGTGTCGCGAACAAGTGCAAGGCAGCCCCAGACTCGAAAGGCCGACCCAACACCAGGGGATCCAGTCCAAAGACTGGTCGGTGAAGCCTCGGGCCGCGAGACACGCGGCTGGAGGTTCAGCTGGTGTGCGGCGTAGCGAACCGCGTGGGGCCACAGAAAATGGGGCGCACGGGCATGAATCATGGACGTGCGGGCGATGTCCATGACCAAGCCTATGCGGCGCTCAGCAACCCCATTCTGCTGTGGGGACTCTGGCAGCGTCCAGGACTGGGTGATGCCCTGTTCGCCGCAGAATCCGCCGAGAATGCCGGAGCGAAACTCGCCCCCACGGTCGGAGTGAAGACAACTGACTCGACGACCACGAGTGCCCTCAGTGGCTAGAAGCCACCTGATCAGCGTAGCAGTCACCTCGGACTTCTTCGCAAGAGGGAACACTGTGGTGTACCTGGAGAAGTCGTCGACGACCACCAGAAAGTAACGCTCCCTCCCAGACCCCTGCGTCGGGGCAGGGCCCCAGACGTCCAAGTGGAGAGTCTCGAAGGGAGCGGTGGCCGGACGAAGGGAGGAGGAGTGGGGAGTGGCGCGTAAGCGACCGGCGACGCAAGGAGTGCAAGGGGGAGCAGGGGAGGTGGGGAGCGACGGAAAGGTGCGTGGGAGACCGGTGACCAGCCCGTGAGTGGTCATCCCGCGGGGGGGACGAAGCAACCTGACCAGACGCAGCTACCTGCGGGGTGGGAGTGTGCAGAACGAAGAGACCTGAGTGGGGCTCTCTGGTGAACGTGGCAAGAACTGCCCCGGTGGAAGAGTCCGTACAGATCGCAGTCCTCCCGTGCGCAGGAAAAGTGACTGTGATCCCCCGGTCCTGAAGGTATCCAACACCCACCAAGTTCCGAGAGAACGAGGGGATGTAGAGACCAGTGAGGAAACCGGAGGGGACAGCTGGGCACGGGAGAGTGGTCGAGCTGCGAGCAACTGCTGGTCCTGAAGTAGGATCAGCCAGGGCAACTGGGACTGGAGCCGAAAGAGGTGTGACAGTGGTGTGGTCGCGAAAGAAGCACTGGGACGCGCCGGAGTCCAGCGTGAAGGAGAGCGACGCAACAGCAGTCGTCACGGCTGGGCTAGTGACTACACAAGCACCTACACTAAAAGCACAAGTACCTACACTAGCAACAGGCAAAGGTCCTAAGCTAGGTACACGCAAGCCAAGAGATCCGTACGTGACAGAATAAACAGCATCCATAGACATATCAAACACAGGGTAACCACTACGAAACAAACCGGGCCAGATTGGGGGAGTCGACTCAGGCCCAAAACGCTCACGGTATAGGTCGTCGAGGCGACTGTAGCAGCGCGGTGCAGAGTGGTCAGGACGCCAGCAGGTAGTGCCAGCACCAGGGCCGGTCATGATCCGGTACTGGCAGGGGCCGACGTCGCGGCCACCGCGACGAGCCCCCAAGCTGGCTGGGCCGCTGCTGCAGCCAACGCTACCCGAACCGCCAGGCCGCCACGGCTGCTGAGGGCGCCACAACTGCTGAGGGCAGAGCTGCTGATGAGGGCGCCACTGCTGCTGTGGGTGCCACTGCTGAAACTGCCGCTGCTGCTGTCCCTGCTGCTGGAGAACCCTAGTGGACGCCATGATAAAGGCGAGGAGCGGCAGGAGCTAGGGACGGCCGCAGTGAAAACGAGAACAACTAGGAGCGCCAGGTAAAACTAGGCGAGGAACGGCTGGAGCACGGAGCACACGGAGCTAGGAGCGCCAGATGAAACTAGGCGAGGAACGACCGGTGCTAGAACGGCTGGAGCTGAAACGGCTGGAGCTAGAACGGCTGGAGCGAGAACGGCTGGAGCGAGAACGGCTGGAGCTAGGCATGGCTGGAGCTAGGAGTGGCTGGAGCTAGAACGGCTAGAGCGAGAACGGCTGGAGCTAGAGACTGTAAGTGCGGCTGTCGGCTGCCGCTAGTGGAGCCAGTGGCAGTGGAAAGTACACGCGAGAAAGGGGCTGCAGTACTGACGGCTGCGGGAGGTAGGGAACTGTGCAGGTCGTCCGGCAAGCAGGAACGCGGGCGACAGTTGCAGCCCCCCACCCTGAAAACCCTTTTTTTTTTTTTTTAGGGTTTAATTAATTAATTTTATTTTCTGGCGCTAAAGCGCTGCGGGGCGCGCTGCCTGCAGGGTGTGCTGCCTGCGGGGCGCGCTACCCGCGGGGCGCGCTGCCTGCGGGGCGCGCTACCCGCGGGGCGCGCTACCCGCGCGGCGCGCTGCCTACGGGGCGCGCTCCCTACGGGGCACGATTTCTGCGGGGGGGGGCGGGGCGACGCGGCGGGCTAGGGGCAGGGCGCACGGGCGCGCACGGGCTAGCGGCAGTGCGCACGGGCGACGGTACGGGCTGGGGCAGGGCGTATGGGCGACGTGACGGGCTGGGGCAGGGCGCACGGGCTACGCGACGGGCTAGGGCAGGGCGCACGGGCTCCGCGACGGGTTAGGGCAGGGCGCACGGGCGACGCGACGGGCCGGGGCAGGGGCCACGGGTTACGCGACGGGCTGGGGCGGAGGCGCGATACGGAGGGTGTGGAGGGCGCGTAGGGGAGGGCTAGGCACGGAGGCGCGGATGGCGCGTTACGGAGGGCGCGGAGGGCGCGTTACGGAGGGCGCGGATGGCGCGGATGGCGCGGATGGCGCGGAGGGCGCGGAGGCCGCGTTACTCGAGGCTAGGGCACGGAGGGCGCTAGGGCGCGTGGAGGAGGGCGCGTAAGGCGCGGAGGCGCTCTAGAGCGCGGAGGGCGCAAGGGCGCGGAGGGCGCTAGGGCACGTGACGGAGGGCGCGTAAGGCGCGGAGACGCTCTAGGGCGCGGAGGGCGCGAGGTAGGCTAGGCTAGGCAAGGATTCTAAACCTACTCGTGATACCATCTCAGAAAGTGAATGCAACGGAATGGTCAAACTAGCAAGTGTGGAAGTACAAATATGCAACCCTAACAACTGTACTCCCGATTGTGCTACTCACTGTAGCCTACAAGCATAGAATTACATTTGACAAACACCGCCATTGATGCGGGCTAATGCGCCTGCACAACGCAGCCATGGCCTCCCCCTCCCCCAATCTCTTCCTCAGTCCATTGATTTGTCCAATCTACCTCACTCCCCCAATCTTCCCATTCTGCCTGTGGCAAACTCTGGCGAGCGCTCGTGAACTAACTGCTCAACAAGGACCCTGGTTACCCCAAATGGTGTTGTACAACTTTTTGTACACTCTCTACGGTCAACTTTGTTTCGTCACGGTGCAAAACGTTATTCCCTGACCGATTTACACCGTGTGGAACCGTGATACAAGAACTGTAAACGTGTGAGTATTGTACAACCTGAAGTCGCCCCCAAAGAAGCTGGGCATTGTTCGCCTGTGGGCCTACTATTCAACCCCACACCTCAAAGAAGCTGGGCTAAATAGTGGGCTTCTTTTTGTTCGTTTGCGCCTACTTCCTCGTGTCGTGAGATGTCTGCGCTGCACCAGCCTGTGATATCCGTCGCATTGTGCTGCCAACCGTGACATCTCCCACCCACCCAGAACAGACACCAGTAAACGAGCACTATCCGCAGCCAGCTCATCGCGATACCTCGCGCCGCGTCGTCGCGTCATGCTCGGCTCGTGTGCGACCACGACTTCATCCATTGGTCGCTGGTCAGGATATTACTGTACCAGTAGCGTCACCCGCGAGGCACACACACACATCCATCACACACGCACACGAAGGCATGCACTGCTCGCACTCCCAACGCTGCGCCTGAGCTTTCTCCCACCAAGGCCGCCTGGGACCAACACTGAAGCATTGCGCGTTGCAATAAGCTCTTTCGTGCGATAAGCTCTTTCGTGCGATAAGCTCTTTCGTGCGATAAGCTCTTTCGTGCGATAAGCTCTTTCATGCGATAAGCTCTTTCATGCGATAAGCTTTCCGTCGCAGCTCGTCATGGCCCCGCGGAGTCTGCCTGCGGCGCTCGACCTGTTCCGTCGCTGCGCGCCGCTGCTCGTCTTGCTCCTCGCGCCCGCCACCGCCGTGCATGGTGCCGCTGGTTTGGAGGCCACGGCCTCCCGTTCACGTGCCGCGTCGCACGTGTCGCATAGATCGCATGTATCATACGCAGCTTCGTTCGCCGAGGAGCGTCGCGCGTCCGTCGCTCGTCAGCTGAGTGGGACAGCCGCGTTAGCCGCACCGACGAAGCTCGCACCTTCCCAATGTGAGCACCCTTTACCCTTTATAAGCTCCTTGAGCCGACGACATGTTTGGGAACCATTTTTTCGCCTTCGCGCTCCTTCATCGCGGCGCCGGTCGCCGTCTATTTACTACCTGCTTTTGAGTCGACTCAAAAGGTCGCCGTTTATGTACTACCTGGTGCCATACGGCGTTCTACCATACTGGTCGCCGCTCCGTCACCGCTATTACTAATCTGCCCACTTCTCTCCTTCCCCTGGGCGGCACGGCGTGGGCGGCAGTGCAAGCGCTGCTGGCGCTGGACGCGGCGTGGGGGGTGTGGCGGCTGGACGAGTCGGCCGAGTATTGCTGGCAATGGAACTTCGTCCAGTGCGACTCGCTCGGCATGGTCACCAACTTGTGAGGCATCCCCTCCCCGCGAAAGATGCACCCGGTTGGGGTATCTGTCGCCCGCCGCGGGGGTTGCTCACAAAAGTGGGAGAGCCTCGTGTACATGTAGGTTCTGCAACATTGCATATACTCTGTATAGGATAGTCGGTGCAAAGTATCAGAACTTTTATGCACATTGTACGAGGGCCAAACGATGTCGGGATGAAGTGTTTCCAACCCGCGAGCACAATGCTCCCCAATGCGGACCACGCGCAGTCAGGTTCGTATGTTTGTTGTTTCTCCGTTCTTTACGTCCGTTCCACACCTGACGCCCTCGCCTCGCCGTTTTGCGCGCATTACGTTGCGTTGCGTTGCGTTGCGTTGCGTTGCGTTGCGTTGCGTTGCGTTGCGTTGCGTTGCGTTGCGTTGCGTTGCGTTGCGTTGCGTTGCGTTGCGTTGCGTTGCGTTGCGTTGCGTTGCGTTGCGTTGCGTTGCGTTGCGTTGCGTTGCGTTGCGTTGCGTTGCGTTGCGTTGCGTTGCGTTGCGTTGCGTTGCGTTGCGTTGCGTTGCGTTGCGTTGCGTTGCGTTGCGTTGCGTTGCGTTGCGTTGCGTTGCGTTGCGTTGCGTTGCGTTGCGTTGCGTTGCGTTGCGTTGCGTTGCGTTGCGTTGCGTTGCGTTGCGTTGCGTTGCGTTGCGTTGCGTTGCGTTGCGTTGCGTTGCGTTGCGTGCTCTCAGGACGTGCGGGAAATCCATCATGGCTGGCGCCATGGACCCTGCTATCTCCAACCTTACCTCGCTCCAAGAACTGTGAGTGAGCCCTAGTATAGGGCTATGGTACCACCTACCACCTTCCCATTTTCTGATTGTGAAGCACAGCTCAGCACTCGTGCGCCAACTTGCGCTTGTTGCGCCGCCGCCTTCCGTGCTACACGTTGCGCCCTTCTCTCGTCCGACAAGTCGTCGTGTGACCCTGCCTGCATTATGACGTGACCTCTCCCCTCTCCCCCCACCTCTGGGAGTCCCGCGTACTATCCCTGCGTGTGCCCTCCATCTCAACGGTCTGCAGTGACGTGGCAGAGAGCAACTTGACTGGCAGCTTCGACTTCATGGCCTCTCTGCCCGCCTCCATGCAGCACCTGTGCGTGCCATGCCGCCCTCCATCCATCGCTGCCCCTCAGAACGTACTAAACACCGTAGTATTCTTTCAAAAAGCTTAAGCGTAGAGCGTAGTCATGGCGCCAGCGTAGAGCGTAGTCATGGCGCCAGCGTGACCGCCAACGCAGAAACCACTTGTGGCGTGTTTTCTCCTACAAAGCTTCGCTCTCCACACGTGTTTGCGCATGTCAGTATGCTTACCGGCTTCAACTCCCCTCATCTCCCATCCCATGTCGCTGCTGCGCAATGGCATGGCATGGCATGGCGTGGCGTGGCGTGGCGTGGCGTGGCATGGCATGGCATGGCATGGAAAGGAATGGCATGGCATGGAAAGGAATGGCATGGCATGGCATGGCATGGCATGGTGTGGCGTGGCGTGGCGTGGTGTGGCGTGGCGTGGCGTGGTGTGGTCTGGCATGGCATGGCATGGCGTGGCGTGGCGTGGCATGGCGTGGCATGGCATGGCATGGCGTGGCGTGGCGTGGCATGGCATGGCATGGCGTGGCATGGCATGGCATTGCGTGGCATGGCATGGCGTGGCGTGCTTACCGCCTTCAACTTCCCTCAATTCAATTATTCACCATGTCGCTGCTGCGCAATGGCATGGCATGGGATGGCATGGCATGGGATGGCATGGCATGGGATGGCATGGCAGGGACTTGAGCGGCACCAAGCTGAGTGGCGAGCTGCCTGTTTCCATCGACAGCGCAACCAAGCTCACATACCTGTAAACCCCTAAGCTCACATACCTGTAAACCCCTAAGCTCACATACCTGTAAACCCCTAAGCTCACATACCTTCCCCCCTAAGCTCACATACCTGTAAACCCCTAAGCTCACATACCTGTAAACCCCTAAGCTCACATACCTGTAAACCCCTAAGCTCACATTCCTGTAAACCCCTAAGCTCACATACCTGTAAACCCCTAAGCTCACATACCTGTAAACCCCTAAGCTCACATACCTGTAAACCCCTAAGCTCACATACCTGTAAACCCCTAAGCTCACATACCTGTAAACCCCTAAGCTCACATACCTGTAAACCCCTAAGCTCACATACCTGTAAACCCCTAAGCTCACATACCTGTAAACCCCTAAGCTCACATACCTGTAAACCCCTAAGCTCACATACCTGTAAACCCCTAAGCTCACATACCTGTAAACCCCTAAGCTCACATACCTGTAAACCCCTAAGCTCACATACCTGTAAACCCCTAAGCTCACATACCTGTAAACCCCTAAGCTCACATACCTGTAAACCCCTAAGCTCACATACCTGTAAACCCCTAAGCTCACATACCTGTAAACCCTAAGCTCACATACCTGTAAACCCCTAAGCTCACATACCTGTAAGCCCCCCGTGTCGCATACCTGTAAGCCCGGGGCTTCCCCTCTCTTGATCGCCATCCACGCTACTACAGCTGGTTGCACTCTGCTGGTCTGTGGTGGAAGGGGCGGAGGTGGGAGGTGAGGGTGTCATTGGCACCATCCATCCCAAGCCTCGAGCACCACCCACGCGCCATTGGCAACGCCACGAACCATGGGCGTACAAGCTGCAGCAGCACCAGCACCAGATGGCATCCATCGTTTGTCGTTTCGCGAAAGGATGTTGAGAAGTTTCTAACCTTCAAGAGGTCCCCAATTGTCCCTCCCTCCTTCTCTACGTCCGTACTCCCCTTCCCCACACCACATGCAGCAATCTGGGGTTTCTGAACTTCACCCGATTGCCTGCATGGATCAGCTCCCTTTCCAGCCTCGAATACTTGTACGTGCCACACGCATGCCATTCCTTCCCATTTCAACCACCCCTTGCCAGCAACGCACGTCGAGGTGCCTGTGCAGTGCTGTGCTGTGTTGTGCTGTGCTGTGCTGTGCTCTGCTCTGTTATGCTGAGCTGCACCCACGGTGCTCCTGCAGTCTTGCTGCCTGGCTGCCCCCCCTCCACACCGTTCCATACGGTGCTGCCACCCCTCTCCACCGTATCCTATCCACCCTCACCCTTCCGTGCTGGCAGAGACGTGTCTGGCATCACGGGCCAGCGCATGCGCACCGCACCCTTCCCCACGGAGTGGACGGCCCTAAAAAAGCTGCAGAACCTGTCAGCCCTTCCTTCCTTCCTTGCTAGCTGCTGCTGCTGCTGCTGCTGCTGCTGCTGCTGCTGCTGCTGCTGCTGCTGCTGCTGCTGCTGCTGCTGCTGCTGCTGCTGCTGCTGCTGCTGCTTCTGCTTCTGCTTCCGACCATGTCCTTCCCATGTGCTTTCAATCTGATGTGCTTCCCATTTGCCTATGATTGCTTCTCCTCTTCGTACTCCTTCTAGAATGAACTGCAAGCCGCGTGCATTCTGTGCTTGTTAAACCGCGAGTGAGTGCAGGTACGCGGATGACAATGGGTTCACGGGCTCCATTCCCAGCACCATCTCCGCCCTCTCCAGCCTCACGCATCTGTACGTGCAAGCAACCCAAGCACCCTCTCCTCAACTCTTCGAAGCTCATTTCTCATGCAGGAGCTTTTTCGCCTTTTTTTTTTTCTTCCAAAGACGCTTTTTGAGTAAACTGAACAGTCACCCCAAGCACCCTCTCCTGCCTGAAGCATCTGTATGTGCATTCCTCGCGTCGTCTCCATCCTTTCAATGGTTCAATCTCATGTCACTCATTACTCCTCCCACATCTCCGTCCCTCACATCCCTCACATCCCTCACATCACATCCCTTCCCTCTCCTGCCGCAGGTCATTGGGTTACAACTACTACATTTCGGGAAGCATACCCGACACACTTTCCACCCTCAAGTCCTTGTACTATCTGTGAGTCTCGCCGCTTTCAATCCTGGGTTGTCGCGTTCAACCACCCTGCACCCCTCTTAGCCTGCTTCTCTGCCGCATGCTCGTCTATTTGCAACGAGTTGACAAAACGCTTTTGTAAAGCACACTAACGTATGGCAACTGAGGTCAGGTCACAACGAGTAGTCGTGATGTGCTCGTCTTGAGGATGACTAGCTTCCCAATGACGGCAGCCTAACCTCTACAAGCATCGTTGCTGCCCTCGTCTATGTGCTGTCTGTAATCACCCTAGTTAAAAAAAAACATGATGATGCCTCTACAGTACAGCCTGTACAAGAACAGGAATCCTCTACAGCCTTCCTGCACCGCCCTGCCCTCGAGGCTTGGGTGACAAAAACCATGATGGGCAGCTTTAGGCAGATGTTATGAAACAATCCTCGATCGGAGCTAGACTGGAACTTGGAAGGAAACAGGAAGATAGGAAAATGCAGCGAGTCGAGACTCTAGACAAAATGCATGCATACACGCAAAAATTAGGAAGCTTCTCCCTCACCATCTCTTCCGTTCCCCCCTCCCCCCTTCTTCTCCACGTGTGACAGACGGCTTGCCTCGAACAACCTGTCAGGCTCCATCCCTCCGTCCTTCACCGCTTTGACATCTCTCGCTGTCCTGTATGCTGCTTTTCAAGTTTCCACTCGCCTCCAAAGCTGCCGTTGCCTGCTTTCTGTTCTGTGGCCTGTATGTCTGTTCATGTGTATATTTGCCACCACAATGCAACCCAACCCACCACTCCCACCGACAAATCACCCGTCTGGAGTAGCTGTCCCTCTGACAACCAATCAGGCAGCTTGCAGTTCTTGTTGTGCGTAAAGCACTTTCTTTGTGCATTCAAGCCATTTCTCTGCTGTGCCCACATCGCCGCTGTCAAGCCCTCATGGCAGGAGCAATGCCCTCCCCAGGCCCTTCCCATGCCCTCCAATGCCCCCACATGCCCTCCCATGCCCACCCATACCCTTCCATGCCCTCGCATGCCCCCCCATGCTCTCCCATGCCCACACATGCGCTCACATGCCCTCCCATGCCCTCCCATGCCCTCCCATGCCCTTCCATGCCCTCCCATGCCCTCCCATGCCCTCCCATGCCCCAACATGCCCTCCCATGCCCTCCCATGCCCACCCATACCCTTCCATGCCCTCTCATGCCCTCCCATGCCCTCCCATGCCCTTCCATGCCCCAACATGCCCTCCCATGCCCTCCCATGCCCACCCATACCCTTCCATGCCCTCTCATGCCCTCCCATGCCCTCCTATGCCCTTCCATGCCCTTCCATGCCCTCCCATGCCCTCCCATGCCCTCCCATGCCCTCCCATGCCCGCCCATGCCCTCCCATGCCCTCCCATGCCCCCCCATGCCCTCCCATGCTCTCCTATGCCCCTCTCATGCCCTCCATGCCCTCCAATGCCTTCCCACTCCCTCTGACGCCCTCTGCACCCGGCCATTTCCTGGTGTATCAGCAATATCAAGGAGAACCCTCTTTCAGGAGGCTTGGAGGCACTTTCAAGCATGAAGGAGATCTTCTACCTGTGAGTAATGTAAAGATGCAGCGCTGCATACCATGTGCTGCCGTCTCTGCTCATTCTGTTCCCTAGATGCCATGTCTGTATTTGATTCACAGAGATTGTAATGCAATGTCCTCTAGACCTCCCAGGAAATCGAATGGATTGAGCTGAGTGGATTAAGGCCCGGGTCTCCCATGCGCCTCCACTCGCGGCCAACGTTTCTATAAGACTCAACAGAGACGCCTGCAACAAGAAGGATGTTGTTTAGGATGTTGCTTGTCGCAGGTTGCACTTATGCTGTTTAGGATGTTGCTTGTCGCAGGTTGCACTTATGCTGTTTAGGATGTCGCTAGGTTCCACTCATGCCATGTCAAGAAGGAGACCCCAGTCGCAGACGAGTTCATGCCATGTGTGATTCCTCTCCTCAAGTTCCTCCCTCGCCCGAAGGGGGGACATCTTCTTCATGTTCATCTCATCCGTTATCATCTCATCCGTTATCATCTCATCCGTTATCATCTCATCCGTTATCATCTCATCCGTTATCATCTCATCCTTTATCATCTCATCTGTTATCATCTCATCTTCCTCAATCCACTCTCTCTTCACTCTCCCTCGCCTCCTCGCCCCACGTTCCTGTGGCACGCATCTGGAATGCAGCATTATCGGTTCGTGCAATTTCTCGGGCCCCTTTCCTGAATTGAAGGCGTTAAAAAGCATGAATACCCTGTGAGTGTCGCCAACGGAGCTGCATCTTGAACGATGCTTTGAATGTTCTGTTCCTTTCATGCTCTTTCACCCCCCTGCTCCTGCCCTCCTTCCAAACAAGCCCTTCCCTCCTCTCACCCTCTCTCCGCGCCGCATTCTCCCCCTTCGCCTCCCCCTCGTCTGCCTCACTGCAGGGACATATCCAACAACCGCTTCACGGGAACCTTCCCGGCAGTCGCGCTCCGTACAAGCGTTACTCACATGTGAGACCAATCGCTCCGCACCGCCACCTGACACTATCGACAGTGCATCATGCCAGGTTCTTTTTGTTTTGGTATATATATATATACATATATATATGTATATATATATATAAGCACAACCGGGGATTCTGAACGCTCGTCTCTTCTTCTCATGCGGCTCGTCTTTTACCTTGTCATTGCTCGGGATGTATGAGCAATGGCCGTGGCGAGTAATACTCGCCTCGAGTTTCGCATTGCCTCGTTTCAGTAACGAGGCTGGACGAGTAACACTCCATGCGAGTAAAAGAAGCTCTCGCTCTCAGAGTACATGGCGGCAAGCTTTTGTTTACTCGCCCAAGTTCGCTCCACACGGCATCAATATGGAGAAACGAGCTTTTGATTTTTGTTTGTGCTCAACTTGCTCTCCCGTGTCCACCGCGAGTCACCTTGCCTCAGAAGCGAGGTGATTTGCAAATTTGCGACTCAGGAGTCACAAGATCTTCTCGAATTTGCGACTGACTGACTGCAGTGCAGATTTTGTGAGAGAAGCACGTCAGGGCGAGTTTGTGTAATGCTGGTGTTTGCGTAACATTCCTTTTGCCCTGTTTTTGTTTTGTTCTTCCAGTTTGTATAAGCCGTCTTGTGCCGATTCCCCGATGACCCGTTGTATGATGATGGTTCCTTCCGTTTTCTCGAGATCACTTTTGAGTCGACTCAAAAGCCGTCTGCAAGACGAGAGGCTGGGAGATCAGCAAGTTAAGGTCCTCCCTTAAATAAGGCGACATTTGAGTCGACTCAAAAGTCACCCGATGCATGATGGTGGTGGTTCCTTCCGTTTCCTCTCCTCTTTGCATACTTGCTTCGTGCTAGTTTCCTGCATCCTTCAAAATACATGTGTATGTCAGCCACTTTTGAGATTTCTCACAAGTGACTGCCATGTGCACGGCAACCCCACCAACAGCACGTCAACCCCACCCACAGCACATCAACCATCGCTGCAACAATTTCCAACTCCCCACACAACCTCAACTTCCCTCTCAAATCTTCATCCCCTCCATTTTCCAACCCCTCAACCAACCAAACCTGTGTAATCCCCCCCCCCTCCATGGACCCTTGCCCTCTTCTCCCCCCAGCAACATGTCCCGCAATGCCTTCACAGGAGCTATCCCTTCTGCCATCTCCAACCTGCTCTACCTGTCAACGCTGTCAGTGCCCTCATGCCCAGGCCACCCTACACACGACCCTTCCTCCCGCAGTAGATTTTTGTTTCCTTTGTTTTCGTTCTGCCCTAAGCAGCACTTCAGCGGTGCACACCTTTGATCCCACCTGCTCTTGAGTCGACTCAAAAGAGTTGACTTTTGAGTCGACTCTGAAGAGTTGACTTTTGAGTCGACTCTAAAGAGTTGACTTTTGAGTCGGTTCAAATGAGTTGAATATTGAGTCGACTCGAAAGTCTGCCCTAAGCAGCACTGCACACCTCTGATCCCACCTGCTCTCTGCACACCCACGCACCACGCCCTTGCCTGCTCCCTGTGATTCATTTTGTGGTTATCACTTGCTCCACAGAGACTGCTTGCTCTCGTTCTTGCATCGCTTTACACCACCGTGCATGCATTACTTAGTAGCACTTACCCCATACCTGAGTTTCCCCACATCACCACAGCCAACCCCATGCCTGCTTCTCCCTCCCCGGCATGCCTGAGCAGGGATCTTCACGGCAATGCTTTCACTGGCACTCTCCCAGACGTTCGCTCTTATGACAAGCTTGCTGAGCTGTAAGCTGCTTCCTCCCTTCCACGTCCACACAACACAACTGCACTAGCGCATGCAGTTGGGAGCTACAGTGTCATGTCATCCGCCCCTCTTCCTTCCACATCGCTTGCGCCACAACCTTTCGTTCCATTCCCTTTTGTTCCAGTCCCCTCTCGTTCCATTCCCCTTTCATTCCGTTCCCCTTTTGTTCCATTCCCCTTTCTTTCCGCACCCCTTTGTTCCACACGCCTTCATTCCACCCTGCTTGCTGCGCAACCCTTTGTGTTGCGACAAGGTAACCAGAGTGCTTCAAAGAGCTTCAGTTTTTTTCAGCAGTGGGATTGCATGGCTACACAGGTCAATCAATGCCCGATGCCCGATGCCCGATGCCCGATGCCCGATCCCTGGAGAGGACTGCCCTCATCACTTGATCTTCATGGCTCACCTCCCCCAATCTTCTTTCCTACGCCCCTTCACCCCCCCCTCCCCACCCCTTTCACTCCCTTTCTCTCTCTCGTCCCCTATCTCTCCTCCTGCTCCCTCTCTCTCTACCCGACTCTCCCTCCCCACGCCTTTCCCCTCCCATCCATGTGCACAAGAATTCCGCCGAGGTCAAGCACCATTCCATCGCCACATGGCGTCTGTGTGAACTTTTGCTACTTGCTGTATTGGATACCAAAGCGCCACGAGAAGCTTCTGAGAGCGGAGAGCTGAGAGCAGCAGGGAGCGGAACGCCGTGGTGGTGAGAGTGAGAAGAAAATCCTGCTGAGGTGGTGAATGAAACTGCTTTGACCCCAGTGGAAACTCTGTACTCTTTGTTGGCTACTGCGACAAACTTTTGCTCCTGAACTGAAATGCTTCTATTTTATCTGCAGAGATGCTCTGCTCATCGGAGGTACATGGGGTTGCTCCAAGTTCAAGTTCGATTCGAGCCTCTTGAAAAAGTTGAACCAATGTTCCACTCCACGCCACGGCAATCAGTTCACGGGCGCCCTTCCTACCTCCTATTCCCGCATGTCCTATCTGCAGCTGCTGTAAGCCATGCTCAGCACTATATGCCATGCGCTCTACACCATGCACTGTATGCCATGCACTGTACGCCATGCACTGTACGCCATGCACTGTACGCCATGCACTGTACGCCATGCACTGTACGCCATGCACTGTACGCCATGCACTGTACGCCATGCACTGTACGCCATGCACAGCCCTGTGGTGCATGCAACAAGTGGATCACCCAGACTTGCTGCATGTCCACTGAATCGATGCTCTCGCTTCCGCCTCTCTGTGCTGTTTGTGCTCGTTCTGTCCCGTGGCATGGCATACATGGCAGGAATGTCAATGACAACAAGTTGTCCGGCCCCATTCCTGCCAGCGTGGGCAGCCTTGCCAACCTGTGGTCCTTGTGAGTACTCACCCTTGCACCCATGCGCCCATGGATCGATGCACCCATGCGCCCATGGACTGATGCACCCATGCGCCCATGCACCCTTGCACCCATGCGCCCATGGACTGATGCACCCATGCAACCATGCACCCTTGCACCCATGTGCCCATGGATCGATGCAACTATGCAACCATGCACCCATGCTCCCATGGATCGATGCACCTTTGTACCCTTGCACCTTTGCACCCATGCACCTATGCACCCATGCACCCATGCTCCCATGCACCTTTGTTCCCTTGCACCCTTGCACCCATGCACTCATGCACCCATGCACCCATGCACTCATGTCCCATGCGCCCATGTGCCCATGCAACCATGCACCTCTTGCATGCACTCATGCTCCCATATTTCCACTGCCCCCACTCCTACCCACCCCCTCCCTTCCACCCCCCTCCCCACCTCCAGTAACACGACGGCCTCGGGTCTGACCTGCCCAGCAGACGGCAGCAAGTGTGTGGTGCAGCAGCAGAACACCTCTACCTTCTGCCAGCTCTGCTACTCCTTCTGCTCCTCCTGCACGCCCCTCAAGCGTACGTGCCCGTGCCTTGCTGTGTATGGGTGCTGTGGCTTTTGAGAATTCTCAAAAGGATGTTGTTTGCAGTCAAGCATGGGGTGTGCAGGCAAGCATGGGGTGTGCTGTGTGGCAACTTGCATTGTGCATGGCTGCGTGAGCACCAGTATGTGTGCATGCATCCTTTGACTGCTTACCAAGACTTGAGCCTCGCCTACCCCTCCTGCACCAGCATGCAAACATGTCCCACTTGCTATCAACTTACATGCCCCACCTTTTTTACCTGAACCCTTGCCCCACACCCCAGTGTCAGCAACCACAGCAGCCCCAGCACCTGAAGGAGCACCAGCGTCCCCTGTGCCATCTGCCCCCACCCAGCCTCCTCCTGCCCCCACCCAGTCTCCTCCTGCCCCCTCTCCTCCCAAGCCTGCATCTGGCCTTTCCGTGCCTTCTGCTGCTGCCTTCAGCCTCTCTGCTGCTGCGGCTGCTGCTCTTGCACTCCCGCTCCTTGTGTTCGCCATGTGAAGAGCAGCTGCAAAGCAAACATGTGACAGTGGGTCAGTGTATGTTCTCCAACCATGTGTGCTGGTAGCGGCTAGGGTTCGTCATATGTTTCAGTTTATATGATTTTTGCTCTTTAGAGAAGGTTCATTGGCAGTGCCCTAGATATCAGCCTTTTTACGCTGATTCAGCGTTAGATCAGGCTTTTTTTTTTGGGGTAGGCTGAATCCAAAGTTTTTTGTTATGTACCTAGGCTGATTTTTCCGTGTTTTATTTTTAACCTTGGCTGATTATTCAGCCTTTTGTAGGAGTGTAGGCTGTGCACTCAGCCTTGTATAGGGGGTCCAGAGTGAAACCGGCATTACAGTGTACGGCTAACACAGTCAATCACGGGCGAAAAATCGAAATTTTCCCCGCGCGGCACCGCACAGCAGATTCGGGCTTGACTGGTCACTGCAGATTCGCCCTGACACAGCAATTCGCACAACACGTATTCGCCCGGCCAACTTCATACATACTCAGATTAGTCCCGAGCGGGTTCTCAGGTGTAATCAACCTGGAATTTCTCAACTTTGATTGGTCGTTGCTGTTTAGTCACACTGTTTACGCTGGTCGAAATTTTTAGGAAGTGACAAAAACAAAACTATCTAGTTTACCCTCCCGACCTGGATTTGTTGAATTAAAGTACGTAAATTTACGACAGGGCAGAAAAAAACTAAACCCCTATAGAATCTGGACGAATTTTCGGGAGGGATCAACCCTAAACACGGGAAAGGGCATTGTTTTTAGGGTTGAGGCCTCCCGAGTCGCATCCCATTCCGATTGGGTTTTATTTTCTGGGTCAAGAGGGTGCAATATCTTTCTCCTGAAGTGGGCGGCTTCCCGTAGTTAGGGTTGATCTGTCTCGAAATTCATCTAGGTTCGCTACAAGTTTTTTTTTTCAGGTGCTGCATTTTCTGTAGTGACTGTATTCAGAAACGTACCGGAAACACTTAGTACTATATCGCGAAACTGTGTTTCTGTTGGTGATTACACCTGAGAACCCGCTCGGGAATACTTTGAGTATCTATGATATTGGCCGCGTATTCTGTCAAACATATGTTTATATCATATTTGTGGGTAGCCTGTAGTGGGGTAGATTATGTGGGGTATAACCCCTTAGGATTTTCCCTTGTACCAAAATTCTCTCGATAGTGCAACTCACTCATGCCTAGCTTCTAAGATGGTATCTAGAGCATAGGTCTCTAGGACCTAAGTTTAGGGCCCACCGTTCATCACTTTACCTCACCTACGGCTGCACGCGCGCAGCCACTTTTTTTTCCCGCGCGCGCCACTTAAATAGCCCGCGCGCAGCCCGTTTTCGGCCCCGCGCGCCACGTTAGCCGCCCGCGCCGCCTAGTGCCGTCCCGCGCGCCGCTTAAATCGCCCGCGCCCAGCCGCTTAGGCCCCGCCCGCGCGGCCCGCCGCCGCACGCAGCCCGTAGCCGCGCGCAGCCTGTCGCCAAGCACAGGCAGCAGCCGCGCGCAGCCCACAGCCGCACGCAGCTCGTCGCCACGCGCAGCCAGCAACCGCGCGCAGCCTGTGGCCGTTTGCGGTCCGGTATGCCGCGCGTCAGCTCAACCTCTGGCCCCGTGTCTCCTTGCCGGAGACCTCGCCCACGCTGCTGTGGACGGGGAAGGTTGGCGATGTGTCGCGTTTCCGGGTCTGGGGTGCTCGCGCCTTTGTCCGCGATACCACCGCGGACAAGCTCTCCGCCCGCGCTGTTCCCTGTGTCTTCCTTGGCTTTGTCCCTGACGCGCCTGGTTGGCAGTTTTACCACCCCACCTCGCGCCGTGTCTTCCCCTCTCAGGACGTCACGTTCGACGAGTCGGTTCCCTTTTACCGTCTCTTCCCCTACCGCACTGCGCCTCTCCCCCCCCCGCCGCTCTTCCTCGCTCCAGGTGCTACCCAGGTAGACCCCCTCCCCGCTCCCGGTCCTGCTCCTTCAGGTGTGTCTCAGGTAGACCCTCCTCCCTTGACTGCGCCGGTTGAGGTCACTGGTGACTCAGGTCCTGCTCGGGGTGCTGCTTCTGGGGGTGCTGAGTCTGGGGGTGCTGAGCCTGGGGGTACTGAGTCTGGGGGTGCTGCACCTGAGGGCGCTGAGGCGTCTGGTGAGCAGTCTCCCTGGGGCGGCCGTCTCCGTAGTCGCTCCGCTGGTACCTCGCCGCTGCACTCTCGTTGTCGACTCCCTCTCTCCCCACAGCAGCTGCTTGAGTGGTACGTTAGCCGTCAGGGACGCGCTGCTAGAGCTAGGGGCCCTGCTGAGGGAGGCGCTGGAGCTGGTGACTCTACTACTGGAGGTTCTGGAGCTGCTGAGGGTGCTGGCGCTAGAGGTTCTGGAGGTGCTGCGGGTGCTGGCGCTAGAGGTTCTGGAGGTGCTGCGGGTGCTGGCGCTGAGGGTTCTGAGTCCGCTGTTACGCGGTCTCCTTGGAGTAGCCGCCTTCGTCCACGTGTGCCTCTCACCTCACAGCAGCTGCACGACTGGTACGGTCGCCGTCAGGGTCGCGCTTCTGGAGCTCGGGGCTCTGCTGCTAGAGGTACTTCTGCTAGCGTCACTGGAGCTGGGAGCGGTGCTGGTCCCGGAGATGCTCGTACTGGAGGTACTGGAGCTGCTGGGGCTGGAGGTGCTGAGCCTGAGGGTACTGCTGCTGGAGACCCTGAGACTGGAGGTGTCGGTTCTGGGAGTCCTGCTGCTGGTGGAGCTGGTCCTGTAGGAGCTGGCGCTGAGGGTTCTGGAGCTGCTGAGGGTTCTGGAGCTGCTGGAGGTGCTGGAGCTGCTGGGGGTGCTGGAGCTGCTGGTGCTGGTGGCACTGCACAGTCGCGCCTGTTCTTTGCTCCACCATCTCCGTCGTCTCAGCCACCGTTTGACTCTGTGCTTCGCCAGGTTCTTAGTCTCCCTTCGTCTACTGGTCTTCCGTTACAGCCTGGCTCACCGCTGCCTGCTCCTTCTCCTTACACTGAGCAGACAGGGGGTTTTACTGAGCGTCGTGAGCCTGCGTCGCGTCCTGTCTCGCCTGTCCGTTCTGGTCGTTCCGGTCGCCGTGTTCCTCGTTCGCGTCAGCCGGTTGTCCCCGGCACCCACCTCGTAGTTCGTCGTCCTTCCTCTCCTCCGCAGCGTGTTCCACTGCCGTCCCCTCCTGCGTCTTCTCTGCCTACCGTTTCTGAGCCTGAGTCTGACCGCACCCGTGCTGCTCACCCTACTGTCACGCGTCTACTAGCCACAGTTGTCACTGACCCGTCGTTTGAGTCTGCTGCTGCATCTGCCTTTGTTGCTGAGCTTGTTGACTTTGCTGCTGCCTGTCGTCTAGACTACGCCGCTACTCTTGTTGCTGAGTCTGAGTCTGTCTGTCCTCCGTCCGTCGGGGGTGAGTGTGCTCTTGGCACGGACGTCCTTGAGGACAGGCAGGAGGACCTCGAGTGTCTTGCAGCCGCTGCGCCTCATCTCATGTCCATGCTGATTGCCCCTGAGGGAGACCCGGATGCTCCAGACATCCCGACCCCGCGCTCTTACGCTGAGGCGATCGCGGGTGAGTACTCCTCTCAGTGGCAGACAGCCATGGATGCAGAGATGGCATCCTGGAAGTCCACAGGCACTTACGTCGACGAGGTTCCCCCTCCTGGGGCGAACATCGTCAGTGGCATGTGGATTTTCAGGGTGAAGCGGCCGCCAGGTTCTCCGCCTGTCTTCAAGGCTCGTTACGTTGCTCGAGGTTTCAGTCAGCGAGAGGGAGTTGACTTCTTCCAGAACTTCTCCCCCACCCCGAAGATGACCACTCTTCGGGTGCTACTGCACGTTGCCGCTCAGCGTGACTACGAGCTTCACTCTCTTGACTTCAGCACAGCTTTCTTACAGGGCAGCCTGCACGAGGAGATCTGGCTGCGCCGCCCTCCTGGCTTCACTGGGTCGTTCCCTCCTGGTACCCAGTGGAGCCTCCGGCGGCCGGTCTACGGTCTCCGCCAGGCGCCACGTGAGTGGCACGACACACTGAGGACTACACTTGCGGCTCTTGGGTTTGCTCCTTCGACTGCTGACCGGTCGCTGTTTTTGCGCACCGACACTTCGCTGCCGCCGTTCTACATCCTCGTGTACGTCGACGACTTGGTCTTTGCTACTGCTGACACTGAGGCTCTCGCCCTGGTGAAGTCGGAGCTACAGAAGAGACACACGTGCACAGACCTGGGTGAGCTGCGCAGTTACCTTGGCTTGCAGATCACCCGGGACAGAGCACGCCGCACCATCACACTGACTCAGTCACACATGGTGCAGCAGGTCCTTCAGCGCTTCGGCTTCACCTGGTCCTCGGCACAGGCCACTCCTCTGGCTACAGGTCACTCGCTCTCAGCTGCACCTTCGGACGAGTCCGTAGAGCCGAGTGGTCCTTACCCAGAGCTAGTTGGCTGCCTCATGTACCTGATGACTTGCACTCGTCCTGACCTCGCGTACCCTCTTGGCCTTCTGGCTCGCTACGTGGCTCCTGG